TATGATAATGGAAGCTATAAAATACTCTCAACAATAAATTAATCATTATATATGTGTTGTTAATTTTCATTTATTTATTTGTGACATACTTTATTCTCTCAATTTAATCATATTATGATATGATTTTCAAGTAGAAATTTTTAAGAACCTTAAAAAAGGTACTCTTCTAATCTTGAAAACACGTAAAAAAAAAAAGGAATATCGTAACAGTTTTTGGGTGACAGCCGCAATAAATGTACCAAAACATCTACATGGCGTTAAATGGCAGGAAATATCACAATGGTAGCGGTTTGCTAACAAAGAAGAATCCGTGAAAATTAGGAGTCACGACATGACAGTTTTGGTGACGGTTTGTGTATAACCGCAACCAGTTACGAAGACCAAGACAATGTCCTTAATAGTGACTGGTGGCATGGGACATCTTGAAGATTCCCTTTTGTCGTGGTTGTCAAAATTACTACCATTTGGTAGCGGCACGCCGGCACCAACGCTTATGTAAATGGAGCCCTTCCTTTTTACTATTTTTGTCACGTTCTTCCTTAATTTGAAAGTTCCCTCAACTTTCCCCTCTTTTATACACAACTCTTATCATGCAAGTTATTTTGAGCTTTCAGGTTTTTATTTTAGTATTTATATTATTTTTTGTCATATTTATTTTACATTTTTATAGTTTTTATATTTATTTTTATTATCTTTTTTATTTTACAATATGAGCACCGAAGATGATGCTTATCAGCCCAATCATGATTAGGGGTGAGCAAAATTAAACTAAAACTAAAAATCAAACTGAACTTTTGTTATTTGATTCAATCTATTCAATTTCAATTGGATTTAGTTTTTTTTTTTTTTGAAAAATATTTTGGTTGATCGGTTCAATTTGGTTAGTAAGATATAAAATCAAATAGATTGAACCAACCGAATTATCATATATATATATATATATATATATAATTTATTAATTATATTTGGTTTATTAATTAATTAATTTTATTTTATTCTTTTAAATTTTACACTTAAATAAAAGTAAATATATAATCTGATAAGTTGAAACCCTAACTCTCATTAAAATGGGCTACTATCACTCTATAAGCCTAATTTTATATATAAGCCTTGTCTATTTTAGTAGAAAAATAATAAAATTGGCTCAAGTTCCAAGCAATCCAACATGAAGCCCAAAATCAAATTAATCAACCGAACTAAATTGTTACATTTCAGTTCAATTCAATTTATATTTTTAGTGTTATTCGTTCGATTGATTATACATATTTTGGCACCGAACCGAACTGAATCGACCAATACTCACCCTTAATCATAATGAGCCTCATGAGGAGAACTCTAATGGTGAGGGCGAGGAAGAGTAGAAGGAGATGGATGCACTCAACTTATGTTATTATTAATTATTAATTTTATTTTTTAAATGATTTAATTTTTTATGTTTATTAAATTTAATGTTATTATTAATTATTTACAGAGCCTCATCTATATAACAATAGCTATGAAAGGGTATAACAAAACCATGATATATTGCACTAACGGATTGAATTCAAATATTGTTTTTCAAATTATTGTTTTACATAATTAAAAATAACTCTCCAACATACATAATTTTTTAAATTCACTAAGTTTAAACCAATGTGTTACAAATTATGTAATGATCCTAAATTTTAAATTAAACAAAATTTTCTTCAATAGATAATTTATTTACATAAATTTTATAGCAAGTAAGAATTGGTAGTTTATAGGAATTTAAGCAAGAAATTTTATTGATGATTCAAAGTTCAAATTTTTCTAAGCAAAAAAAAAATTGATTTTAAATTATAAAAAATTTTGTCATCTTTTTGGTAATATTTTGTGCCCTTTTTTGTGATTTCTCATGCTCTTTCTTGTAATTTTTCCCAAAATTTCTTGAATCAGATTTTTTTGAAAGGAAAATAGAGCACGTATTTTTATCCTCACTGCCATTTGAACTTCATAGAACCTACTAGAAATAGATTTATTTGTTTCTCTCCCGTCCGATTTCGCATTTTACATGAGCTGAGAGAGTATGACAGATCGAAGATTTGAGAACCTTCACCCTCAGCTCTTCTTGGATCCCACCGGCATTCTCCACCCTTTCCCTTTAGTCTTCAGCATCACCGACGTGGGTGTGTTAGAGAGCACCTTCCATTGCTGTTGCCAAGAGCTTTTCCTCTTCCCTGCTCTGCCTTTATTTTGTTTGACCCCTACACGTGCGTCTGTGTTGGTTGCCATCCATTCTTCCTCTTTCTCCTCCGCCAATCATCTCGCTGTCGTCGACAGGTGCAACGGCTCCATTTCCCTTGCTGGTGTGAAGTTCCACTGTGAGTTTTCTCCCCCGGTCGTCTTTGTTCACTATTTGTGTGTGTACGACAGTTTGTTCTTCTTCCTCCTTGCTTCTTCCTGCTAAAAATAGTGATCTCCTATCTGAACTGACATGGTTTAGTATACCAAGTTCCTTTCCTCATCGCCGCTCTGTGTGTGTGTGTGTGTGGGAGACATCCGTTGGCTACTGCAAGGAACTTCAAAAAAGTCACAATCTCTTCCTCCCTGTTCCTGCATTACAGTTGACCTATCCTCCTCCCTACCTTTGCATCATTGCTGTGCTTGTGAGTATGACAAGATTCTTCATCCTCCTCCCCTGTTCTCCTTTGTTCGTGTGTCGGCCCCTTCTCCTTGGTCATGGTTCAAGCCATTCAAACCTCTCCTTCTCCTCTGTTCTTGCCAAGGTGTGTTACAGACCTTTCTCTTCCTTTGATGTTGTGTCGTGCTGTGGTGGTGTAGTAGAGGGACTGTCAACTTCTTTCTCTTCATTTCTCCTATGCTCTTAAGGTGTGTATTGTTCCATTTTCTTTCCTCTACCTTGGAAGACCTGTGTATGTGCGTGGGTGTTGTTGGAAGTATGAAATTTCTGAAATTTTTCTTCCTAGTTCGTGGTTGTTCATGAATCTAAGGAGGTAAGGATTCAGTTAGGCTAAATATTCATGTTTTTAAGAGCATATTTTAATATGTGATTTGACTTGAAAAATCTGATTACTATAAGAGGAAAATGAGTTGATTTTCTTCAAGCTTGAATCAGTTTTTCTTGGAGATGGAGATTGATTTTATTTTAGGAATAAAACTCAGGAAGTTGAATGATTCTAATAATTAAATTGGAGAATTTTTGAAAAGGAAATTTAAGAGAGAGAAAATTGGTATTATAAATGAGTATTGATGCATGTAGGAAGAGTTTTGTTTAGTTATGTATTTTCTAAAATTTCATTAAATATCCTAAAAAAAATATAACTAGCTTGGGTGCTACTATTTTGTGAATTGAGCTTGCCATCGTGAAGAAATTGGATTATGTAACCTATTTGGTTTGGATACTATTTAATTATGAATATAATTTGAGTTTTGCAAGAAATTTGTTAATAAGGTTGCCAGTGTGTAATTAGTTAGATTCTTGAGAGTTCTATGGTTGGGTAGGTGTGGGTATATAAAGTATTGAAAGGATTGAAGAATTTGAGACTTAGCTGATTTAATTATGATAAGTTGGAGCCCGGCTGATTATAGTGTTGTCAATATTGAAAGATAATTTATTTAATTGGAATAAAACCATTAAACCTTCCTTTTATATTGGATAGGGTATTTAGAGGGAGGAAGAGTTTATTGGAGTTGTAAGAAGTGAATTATGAATCTTGCGAATACTACAGGTAAGTGAATAATGTCCTAATCAATTTATGAATTAGAAAATTTTCTTTATCAAAATATTAATTTAACAATTTATAGATATTATATATTTCTCATGCATTAGCTCCTTTTGTTAATTAAATTTGTTTTGCTTCTTGGAGTCATGATATACTTATTAGATTGACGGAAATAATTTTATAAATTCTATTACTCTTTTATTCAATAAAGACAATCATAGAAATTGATAAAGAAGTTTATGAAATATTAGTTGTGAATTTTCATGTTTGAAAGAATTGATGTTTTAATTAGTTCATGCGAGTTTGATATTAAAAAGAGAAAATTTTATTGTGAAAGTGATGATTTCTCGCATGTTTAAAAATGGATTTAAAAGGGACTTTATACAGAACACTGGTTGCTAACGATAGTTCCGTTAGCCCTTAGCACGCTATAGCATACCTAGCTAGCAGGGTGTTTATAGAAGGTGCTAGCCCTGTGCGATGGCCAACGCATGTGGAACGAAGGGATGGTTATCTGTTAGCATCGTACTCACGTTTGTTTCGTAGCTTTGGCTGCGTTTGGTTACTTACCCTCATAAATTGTGTGTCCACGTTTGTCTTCATGATAAGCCGCGTTTGGTTATTTACTCTCATAGACTTTGTGTCTACATTTGTTAATTGTTCTAATAAGTCCCTATAATATGAATTTGATTATTTGATGATTTTACATTCCATTGGTTTTTAATTAGTGAATTATTTATAATTATTTATTTTATTTATTTACTTTCTTGCAATCAAGTGATAATAATATTTGATATGATATTTTAATAGTTTAAGATTTTATTTAAACTTTATAAAATTCTTTTATTTTCAAAGTTTATTAAATTTTTATGAAAATCGTTGCTTCTTTGAATTGCATAATTGTTTCAAATTTTTCTTTTATTCATGTTCAATTATTTATTATTGGGACATTATTCACTGGAAAAGATATTTTGATCTCAGATGGTATAGTTGAATTCATGACTCGAGATATTCACTAAGGAGTTTTATTGTTGAATTGAAGCGGGAGAATTATTTTAGTCAAATTCTAATTTGATGAAAATTTGAACTTTATACCTACGTTGGTGTCTCGCCTTAGGTGCTCCATGTATATTACAAGTAGGATCCTCACATTTCTTTTAAAATTTAATATCTAATTTAATATTGAAATAATTTCTAATTACTTTATTAGTATGTTTAACATATTAATTTCAGAGTTTTTCCAATTACGACTAAAGGGATATGAGTTTTGTGCCCATATCCTGTGCCAGTCATACCTGATTTTTGGGATGTGACAAATTATTGAATATATATATATATATATATATATTGACAACATCAATAGGAAATCCCTCTCCCATGTATTCTTTCTCAATAATATCTCTAGGCCATTATAAGCTTCTTCAAAACATACGCTTGAGTCTATGGGCGATGATAATGGTGGTTCCGAGGATCATCCAGATGAATTTTATCTGCAATATTTTGAGACAGATTCGTCAAAATCATATAATTAAATTTAAATTTGTAGGCATAGCTGAAAACGGAGTATCATAAGAAAGAAAATTAAGTAATATTAAAATCATTTAAGTTTATGGCTGAATATGACATTTATCACCCGTCAATAATTTCCAGATTTATAACAAAAATAAAATAAAAAATATGAAAAATGAAGAAAAAGAAAAATTAAGAAACGAACGAGTAACCTATAAGGATGGTGTAAATATTTTACTTTTAACTTTTTAATAATATTAAATGCATGGTTGCGATGGGTTTGAATCAGTTTAAAATAATTTAAAATTGTGTGTTGAGTGTTGATATTGTATTTTTAAAGATGTAGAATGCATAATAAAAATAAGTTTAAAATTTAAAATTTAATAATGAACTAACGACATTTGGGTGATTCAGTAAAAAAAAGAAACTCAATATGCCTTAATTATGGTTTTAACTTCGAGCGTTGCATGGAAAAATACACTTAATGAGACTAATCCCCCATTTGAAGCCTAACAGTATTAATGATATGAATTCAAACATTTGTTTAAAAAAAGTGCAACATAATAGTTGAGATTTCATTACGCTTGAAAAAAAAAAAAGAATATAGATAGAGATTGAGAAACATAAATAGAAGGAATCCATAAGCTAGCAAATTTGGTCCATAAATATGTACTAAATGATCGATAGAACTGTGATTGGGAAATGATTTCATTACATACGAGTCTGGCATTTTTTTTTCATTGGATAATGAAACAATAAGGGATATCATGATTTGCATAAAAATTAAGAATAAGACGTCTCTCCTCCATGCATTCTTTCACAATAATCTCTTGGCCACAAGGTTCTTCATAAGAGCTAATACTTTGACTAGTTCTAACCATGACGATAGTTGTGGCCTTGAGGAATATCAGCAACGCGGCCAATTTTACCTGCATCGTTTTATGAGACAGATTCAATTAAAATCCCACAAGAAAATTTAATAAATACATATTTGAAAATTGAGGAGAGGATTATATGGAAAATGAATAGATATAATATCTACAAAGTTTACTTTTAGTGATTGTGAAAATGTATCGATTGTCAATCATGTCCAAATTCGCAAACCCGTGGGGAGTAAAGAACTGCTTCATCTCAATTTATAAGAATCTTTTGGATAAAATTTTATATATTAATAAAATTCATTAAATACACTTTACAACCTTATTTTTTTTAATGTCTTTCATTTAATTCTCCATTTGTAAAAAAATATTAAAGAGAGATAATATTATAGGAAGGATAATATTGAAAAAGCATCATTAATTAAACAATATTTTTATCAAAGTATCTTATATTTTGAAACACTGAATTTTCCTAAAAATTATCTTATAAATTGGGACTTAAGGGAGTATTTATTTTGGAATGATTATTTTATTTTTCATCTTTTCAATGATTAAATCTTTTCAATGGGTTCGGGTTTGAATTAGTTTTCAATTCCAGTACTAACCGAAACTTGATGAACTCATATTGAAGAAAATAAATAAGTTCGGTAGAAAAAGAAAAAGAACAAGCTGATCACATCTCCATCTTTACCTTCTCTATAATATCAAATGATCATCAACACATAAAAATAAACAAAAAAAATGAACAACTAAGATATCAATATTTTCTCAAAAAATAAATAAATTCGTCAGTTGCTGATCACTTACGTGTTATGTGATGATCAGACATCCAAAATGCTGGCACCCTAGCCGCGACTTCACTGGAGAAAAGAAGAACAAACAGCAAAGCAATGTTCAATATAAGCTTCTTCATATCAGCCATCTTGATCAAGTACAACTTTGTGAGAATCGCTAGAGCATTATATATCTATCTCTCTCTCTCTCTATATATAGAGGTCAAGCGAACAGATTTAATGAAAAGATTTAGTCAAACATGCATATTTGAATTTTTCCTCCCATAGGAACAATATGTAAGAAAACCCTAAACTTTTTTGTTGAAAACTAGGGCAAGATTGGGACCGTCTTTACTAACTTTATCAAATATTCCATGTAATATAACTTTTGATTTTAAAATGGGAGCATGACAGAAAATTCCCTTGAAATACGTAAATAACAATGAGGATATGAGATGCGTGAAATATGATAATTCTTCTCAAGTTCTTTGGGACCTTTGTAAAATTAATATCTTTTATGAAATAATAAGAGAGACTAGAGAGAGAAGCAGAACATGATAGAGACTAGAGTGTTTTATTTTCACAGTAAAAGCCTAAATAAATGTTAGGCTAATGTCACGTTCAAGTTTGATAAAGTAAAGGAGAAACAAATTAAACTGAACGCCAAAATGTCACCACAGTTTCAACAAAACTTCATGGTTTTCTTATGTTAGATTTCAGTAACGATGTGTGTGTATTATATGTATGCATGTTTGACTAATGTATTTATGCTTAAAATTTTGACGCTATTCATATTCTTAACTGCGGCAGTTAAACCTTGTCCAAAAATATGGGATAATGGAAGATATGTGACATATATAAATAGGGGAATAAACAGAGATGTGACATATACTAATCTATATTTATATTCTATTATATGTATCTATAAAATCTCATATATGACCCACTATTCATAAGTCATGAATAATAATGCATTTTGTATTGTGTTTTGAAGCTCATTTTACTACTACTATATTGTTATATATTATTACTTTAATATGTATCTATTCAAAACTTTGCCGATATTTAAATTTGATCTTTTAATTTCTCCCCAAAAAGTTTTTCTCAAATTAATAGTTGAATTTAATATATCTTTCAATCAAATTGTTTGTGTCATGTTATTAGTAATAGCAACAATCTGATTCATCTACATAAAGTAATATATATATATATATATATATATATGTATGAAGTTAATTGAACATAATATTTGCACCAATGAAGGAGTTGGTTCTAGAGGAAGAGGCTAGTCTCTCAGGATGTGGTAAGCCAAGGTTTGAATTTCTATTGGAAGATATGTCAACATTTAGTTCTTAATCGTACCTTGAACAAAATTATCTCTAATAGAAGGATACTCTTGAGTAATAAAAAAACAATGATTTGGAAAATAAAGACAATGAATTGCTCTAGCCTTTATGAAATGAATAATGATTCATATGTACACGTTCAATGTCAATGCTAGGATTTTGTCAATTTTTGGACTTGTCAACAGAGAGCATTTCATTTTTTTTTCCCTTTTGATTTTTTCAAAACAAGAAACTAGTACAGACAGCAATGAACCTAAACATAACACCACATCGCAAATACAGAAAGGTAATGTACATTATTCAATCCATATTTCATACATGAGTTCAAAATAATAACGAAAATGGTAAATGAGTCCCCATTATATGGGGAAGGTACGTGATGCTAAGTAAATCCTCCAATTTAATTAATGCCCCCAAGAATTTGAATGTCGTTTTTGACATATGGAAAATGTCAAAAATGCTCTTCTTGACTTTGACATTTGACCAAACCATAATTGACCGGCGACAATTGATCGTATAATTATAACGATTCAAAAAAATAATAATAATAAAGAGTACTACTTATAATTTTCTTTTTAAAAAAAATGCCTTGAAGACTTGTGGTCAGATGGTTAGCATGCGATGGCCTGAGCTGCAAGATGCAAGTTCGAAGAGGCAGAACAAATAAATAAATAAATAAAAAGTAATATTTATAATTTGTGAATAGTAAGATACTGAGATATGCCATGAGTTTTATTTACTCCTCATCAACTTGCTCTTCCCTTACATGTTGAGTATTATATCTTTTTGGGAATATTGCATCAAAGGACAGCTTAAGGATTAAAGCATTTTGAATTTGCTAGGAAGTCCCTAACATGACATCTCACAAAAAGATTGAATCAGAAAAAAGAAAAAAAAATCATCAATGCATTGGACGAACTAAAAAAAAATTGGAATATATTGATGGAAGCCCTTGACGTCACATCTCACAAAAAAAAAATTCAATGAGAAAAAACAAATTTATCAATGCATTAGACAGGCACTACGAAAAAAAAAAAGGTTTTTAATAGTGGTTGGATACTACCACTGAAGCCAATTGTAAGCAGGTTTGCCGAAAACTCTTACGAGGTTGCCAAACTGCCATTTGGCGCGAAACATATCGTAGCAGTTTTTGGGTGACATCTGCAATAAATGTTGTGACGGTTTGGTAAAAATATCTAATACTTCCTCCTATTCAAATTATAAAAAATATTTTAAAAAAAAATTTACCATCTCAAGATATAAAACATTTTAAAAAGATTAAAATTTATTAAATAAATTTATTTTAATATTTTTCTTTCTCCCTCCCTCTATTTAATACTAATTAGGTGTAGATTTAAAATTATTAAATAAAAAATATTTTTAAAAGTTTATATTTTTTTTGAAAACAAAAAGATTGTTAAGTGTATTTAATAAAATTTATTGATATATGAGATTTTATCTAAAAATATTTTATAATTTAAAATGGAGAGAATACAATATATGGTGTCAAATGACGGGAACTCTTGCAGTGGTTTATACTCCCTCTGTTTCTATTTATAAGAGAAAAAAACTATAACACATAGTTTTGAAAAATCAGTTAACTATGTTAATAGTGTTTAAAAATAAAAGAATTAGACTACAACACCTTTAATTAATTGTATTAATCAAGCCTTCATTAATTATTTCTTATAACTATGAATGATAAAATTATGAAAGGTAATTTAAAAAATTTACAATAAATACTTATTAAAAAATATAATTTTTTATATAAAAAATAAATTAAAAATGATAGCTTTTCTACAAATAAAAACAGAGGGAGTATATGGTAGCAGTTTGTCTAACAAAACGGCCACAATGTTGGTCACCCGCAGGAGGAGTTACCTGCGTGGCAGTGACATGACAGTTTTGTTAGCGGTTTGTGTAGAACCGCTACCAGTTACGAAAACTGACTCAACAACCTTTATATTGACAGGTGGCGTGAGACATCGTGAAGATTCTCTTTTGTCACATCTGTCAAAACCGCTAGCATCTAATACCAACGCTAACGCTTATATAAACAACGGCCCCTCCTTTTTATCACTTTTGGCAAATTTTTGTCACGTGCTTCCTTTGAAAATTCTTTCAACTTTCCCCTCCTTTCTACACAACTCTCCTCTCATGCAAGTTATTTTGAGCCTTCAAGTTTGTATTTTAATATTTACATTATTGTTTTTAATATTTATTTTTATTAACTATTTTATTTTACAATGAGTTTTGAAGATGATGCTTATCAGCCCAATGATGATGAGCCTCATGAGGGGGACTCTAATGGTGAGGGCGAGGAAGAGTTGAAGGAGATGGATGCGCTCAACTTTTGTTGTTATTAATTATTAATTTTATTTTTTAAATAATCTAATTGTTTTACGTTTATTAAATTTAATATGTTATTATTAATTATTTACAAGAGCCTCATCTATATAACAATACCTATGAGAGGGTATAACAAAAGCGTGATATACTGCACTAACGGATTGAATTCAAGTATTTTTAATTCAATTGAAAATAACTCTCCGACATACATAATTTTTTAAATTCACTAAGTTTAAACCATTGTTTTACAAATTATTGAATATATATATATATATACACTGACAACATCAATAGGAAATCTCTCTCCCATGTATTCTTTCTCAATAATATCTGTAGGCCATTATAGGGTGTGTTTGGATTTTAATTGGAAAAAATTGATTAAGAAAAAAATTGATTATTAGAATGTGATGGTGTTTGGATAAATTTTCAAAAATTGATTATGATATTAATTTTTCAAAATGGAACAAATTTTAGCTTATTCCAAATGGAGTTTTGGAAACCAAATGGAGTTTGAAAAAATTGGGATGTTTGGATAAAAATTTTCAAAACCATAATTTTGAACCCAAAATTGATTCTAAATGGACATCCAAACAGGCCCATAATCTTCTTCAAAACACGTGCATGTGTCTAATGACGATGATAATGGTGGTTCCGAGGATCATCCATATGGATTTTATCTGCAATATTTTGAGACAGATTCAATCAAAATCATAAAATTAAATATTAAATATATAAGCATAGCTAAAAACTGAGTAGCATTGGAAGGAAAATTAATCAATATTAAAATCATTTAAGTTTATGGATGTATATGACATTTATCACCCGTCAATAATTTCCAGATTTATAACAAAAAATAAAATAAAAATATGAAAAATGAAGAAGAAAAGAAAAATTAAGAAACGAACGAGTAATCTATAAGGATGGTGTAAATATTTTACTTTTAACTTTTTAATAATATTAAATGCATGGTTGCGATGGGTTTGAATTAGTTTAAAATAATTTAAAATTGTGTGTGGAGTGTTGATATTGTATCTTTAAAGATGTAGAATGCATAATAAAAATAAGTTTAAAATTTAAAATTTAATAATGAACTAACGACATTTGGGTGATTCAGTAAACCCAAAAAACAAAAAAAACTCACAGGTTTAACTTTCAGCTTTGTATGCACTTAATGAGAGTAATCCCCCATTTGAAGCCTAACAATATTAATGTCAAAGCATATGAATTCAAACATTTGTTTAAAAAAAATGTGCAACATAGTAGTTGAGATTTCATTACGTTCGAAAAAAAAAAGAATATAGATAGAGATTGAGAAACAAAAAAAAGAAGGAATCCATAAGCCAATTTGGTCCATAAATATGAACTAAATGATCGATAGAATGTGATTGGGAAATGATTTAAATTAAAAGCATAAAAAATTTAAATTAATTCGAGCCAAATGAGATACTCCCTCTGGTTTTATTTTTATAAGTAACTTGCTATATGTTCTTGAGAAAATAAGTTAAACCTTCTTAATTTTGTCTAAAAATTCAACAAGTTTCTAACTTTACCCCTATTAGATATACAACCTATAAAAATAAAATACTCCAACATTTAATAGACTTCTCAGCATTTATAAAGGGGCAAAAGGGTATAGATGGACAGAAAAATTATGAAAGTATCTTATAAATAAAAATAAAATAAATATTTTCTATTTACTGCATAAATAGGATCAAAGAAGCATATGATCAGTTCTTTTTCACTTACGTGCAATGTGATGATCAGATATCCAAATTGAAGGCGCCCGAGCTGCGACCACTTTCCCGAAGAAGAGAAGAACAAACAGCAAAGCAAGATTCAATATCAGCTTTTTCATATCAACCATCTTCAATTGAAAAATCTACAAAAAGAATATCAGATAGAACTATGTAATTAAGCTTTAATTCTGGTAATTGCTGGTATATAACCTTTAAAGACAGTTGAACTGGACTGGCATCTCAAGAGATATTCTTTAGTCAAACATGAGCATTGTGATTTTTCTGTTTTCCTTAGAACACACGAAAAGGAAGTAGCTAGGAAATCATACTTTTTTGACTTGGCTTCTCTGCATTTATTTTCTCTTTACTTGCTCTCCATTTATCATCTCAACTTTTACATCAATTTTTGAATGGTTAAGATTTAATATTTTATAAAATTTCTTTTTTATTTCTTAATTGCAATCCTGAATTTTGAATTGTAGTTTTGATCAAATTTGCTATATTTTAAAGTTATTTATTTTTGCATAATTTGATATTTTAATAATAATAATTTTATGAAATACTAAATCATAACCATTCGAAATTTAATTCAAAGGTTGGGATGATAAGTGGATAGGAACTGGAGAGAAAATAAAAGGAGAAGCTAATTCTAAAAAGTAAGGCAGAGCATGATTTTGACTTTTATTTTTTTTCATAAGTCAACTTTATCTAACTTTCAATTTGACATTAGCCTAATTAGTTTGACTTTTATTTAGCTAGGTTTATGCATTAATTTCATTCTTGCCAGCGATTTTTTAAGGAAAAGATTTATGGGTACTTATTATCAAGTTATTCAATGATTCAAAATTTTAATACAATATCCAGATATATGTATGCAATAGTTTGAGCATATAAGACAGTAAACTAAATCCAGCATGTTTCAATCATAGAAAGTTATCGATTATATTTCCTTTTTGTCATTTATTGCATAAAATATAATCATCAAAAGATTAGTATTGCTCTTGCTGAGTCATGTGTGTGTGCGCGTGTTTGGCCAACAAGTCAAATATATATTTGATTCCCTAAGTAAAGATGAACAAACCGAAAGAGCATTAAATTTAATGTCAGGAATATTTAGTCAATTTTGAAGATATCAACCGAACATTTTTTCCCCCGTCACTTCTTTTTCTTTTTCTTTTACTTTTTTTTCAGGTTATAAGGCAAAATTAACCTTTAAACTATAAGCTCAAGAATGTTTTTGATGGTGAACTTATTTTTTGTACAATGCTTTCTTTCAATAATTGAGTATTATGTTACGCTGACTCATAATAAAAATTAAATTTGATCATTAGTTGACCAGAAAATTCCAGAAAATGATAAAAATAATTATAAAAAATGATCTAATAATTACATATAAGTATCATTTAAAAAAATGAATACCAATTAAGTTTTTTAAATTACAATAAATACCAAGAAATTATTGTATTTATTTTAATGGTATCTTATTAAATATTAATAATATAATATATAATAACTTAAATATTATTATTTACAAATTTTCATACATAATTTACAAGACAACTTTTGATATTTATGATTTCTTCAAAAATTATAACATAGCTAATGTAGTTGTTAAAAAGCATTCATGATCTATGTATCTTAGATACAGTAGTTAAGCTTTTAATTTTTAAAAAAAGAATTATAAATTTTGGAGGAATATTTATAGGCAATAAAAATAATATTTAAACTATTAAATATTAGAGTATTAATATTTTACTAAGATATTATTAAAATAAAACAGTAAACAGATGTTTTAATTTTCTCTTTTGATAAAATAAATTTTAGATAATTAAGTTGGGTATTGGAGGCTTATCAAAGTCATGGCATATTTCCGGACTCAAAAAACACTTACAAATAAAAGTACCTTATAGATTGGCTACTAACAAAATTCTCATATCAGTTGTGAGATTTCCACATATGATAAGTAAAAATTTGTAAGTCCAATGTGACAATTACAATTACGCCAGAAAACAACTAATATGCTTACTGCTATATTAACTGGCACACTAAATCAAATTACGCATATGACTAAAAGTCTCGTTCAGCTTTCTCTCAACAGTTGATTTCCAATGGGACTTCTGTATGTTGATCAAGGATTAGGATGAGGATAATTGTGGCCCTGTGGTTGATCCCGCGCTGATGTTCGTTCAAGTTTTTCAAGGAATTAACAATTCCATCTGTTAGTTAATTAACCATATATAATACACACAAAAAGAAAGTGTTTCAAAGAAATAGAATGTAACTTCGAGAATGTTAATTATAAATAATATGGTACATCAGAATTTCAATAATGACTAAATTTATAGAATTTAGAAAAATTGACGACTAAATGATAAAATCTTCATATAAAGACTGAAGTACTATAATATACAATTATATGAATTGAAAGTATAATTTTTCCGGAAGTTTTTAATCAATTTAAACATCATATACAGGAAAACGGTATGCTGGCCATAAAACACAAAGCAATGTTTAAGTCTAGTTTGATTGGAAACAGACAAAACCTAAATCAACACACACACACACACACACACGTCAATCATTAATACAAAATATAAAATCTATAGTTGCAGATATTATTTGTAAATCGTACTATTTAATTTATATTTCTCAGCTTATAACTTACCCGTTATGTGAATCTTGGGCGCCCCAAAAAGTTCCCTTGCAGCCACTTTGGTGGAGATGAGGAGCACAAGAAGCAAAGCAAAGTTGAGCATGAATATTAGCTTCTTGAGTTTAGCCATGTTCAAGCAAATTAACGCAAAAATGTTATGGGAAATTCAAGACAATATGATTGACTTGATCTGAGAGTTGATTGGAGACTTTTAGCCTTTTAGGTATACATTTATAGGCATCCACTGGTCAAAAGAGTAATAACACTTCACCAAAGTTTTGTTTGACCGCCATCTTGTGATATTATCATATGTTAGGTAATACATTTCAACTGTGATGTCGTGATTAAATTGACAATGCACTTCCTAGCTATTAGAAATAAGCAACGACGATCCAAAAACAAGGGAAAAATAAACAGATAAGAATAGAGAGAAAACATCATATCTTAACTCAAAACCTCAAATATCAAATTTATAGGTAATTCTTCTTTATTTTATATTAGTTATAAAACTTGACTTTATCCAATGTGAGACTTTTCACATTAACTCAAGTGATCACTTGGACAGCCTACCACTTCCTTTAATTCTAAAATGCATAATCTTTTGAAATATCCCTCTCATTTAATTGGAATATTGGATTACCAACTTTTAATCATTTTAATTTGAATGTGAACTTTAAGCAAATGGAAAAATGGCATATTAAGAAATATTTAATTGATGTGGTGAATAAAAGTTGTTGTGCTTAATTTTACATTCAGGACAAAACCAAAATTTACAAAAAGCTCCAACATTTTGGACTAGAAGTACTAAACTAAACTAAATGGGAAAACTATAAGGAATGATCCAGATTAAACATTAAATAAATTTCCTTTTAAATCAAAATTATTTAGGAGAATTCAATGAATAATATTATTGTCACATCCTAATAAAATGGAAGTGACTAGCATGAGATATGCACTAGAAATTACATCTCTAAAACTTTAAATTAAGAAATTATTCCATTTATACAACAAAGTTATATTTGTATTGGAATTATGACATTCTTAATAATTTTAATTCAAACAAAAGTTTTAATATTTTTATAGAAATTTTGCCAAAACGTTCCTTGTAACTAGGACCTCTCGAAAAAAAAATTTACAACACAAGGTTTCAGGCAAAATATCATAATAATCAAGAGCTTAACTCCTTTCAACCAACATACAAAGTTTATAATAAAATAAAGATCTTAACTATAGTCTATGTAGAGTACCTAGAATTAAATTTATAAAATACAATTTCATAAATTCAAATTTTACATTGAAAGGAAGCTTAATTCACAGCTCCTCTACTTCCCATCAGAATAAACCCTCAATCATTAGCAAGAGGTTCAACTTCAATTATAATATCTAAGGCCAAAATAATTTTTCAGTGAATAACGTCCCAATTATAATTGATGGAAATAATAAAAAGTATACCAATGAGTCTTTTATAAATTTAATGAAATAATCAATTAAAAATAATATAAGCACATACCTTCTATGTATATATATATTGACAGATATGTAAATGTAAAAGTCGTGAATACATGAATTCAATTACAATTTATTAGAAATTCAAGTTCCAGTTTAAACATCAAAATATATTTAAACACTATGGGAATTATTAAGCTAAATTTAAAATCCAAATATGGTAAAAATAATAGTTTGCTTTAAAAGATCAAATTTTAAGGAAAACTTAAGTTTCAAAATTCACTTTTTAATAGGACTTGATCGGAACAATTAACAAACATAGATATACAGTCCATAAAGGTAAATAACTAACAAGTGTGGATACACAATCCACGAGAATAAATAACCAAACGCAATGTAAAACCATGAAATGATTAAGAGCGATTTAAAGTCACAAAACAAGCACAGGCACAAGGCCTATGAAAATAGGCGTGAGTACAATATTCACGAATTATCATCCCTCCATTCTACATGCATTGGCCCTCTCACGGGATTAGCACCTTCTACAAACACTTTGTTAGTTAAGTGTACCATGGGATGCCAAGGGCTAATGGGTCTTCTGTTAGCAACTAGTATTCTAATTTAGTCTCATATTTCAAATCAAGCATGCATGGGTCTAAAATCAACATATTATTCTTTTTTAAAAATTATTCATCAAACTCAACATAACTGAATCCATATGTAAATTCCATGCATGAATCAAAATAGTTAACCATCCCTTACATGTAAATCAAACATTACCAAATATAGCAATCGCTTTCAAATTTTCATTTGAAAAATTATAGTTCCAACTCTTTTTATTAAAGCTATTATAATGACATTTCTAAGTACAATAGCCACTAATAAAAATAAAAATTATAAATCATTAAAGAAAAATAAATAAACATACTCTATTGTTTGTCTTGAGAATTTCAAAAGAATTACATAAATAGAAAAGGTGGCTCGTGAATAGGCTCAATCAATGTTTAAATAAATAAATAAATTTGCTAACAAATTATTAAGACGTTATTCACATACCTATAGTACTTTTAAGGCTCAAAACTCACTTGTTACAACTTCAATTGAGCTTCCCTTCTTCCAAACACCAGGCAACACCTCAGTCCCAGTGAATCATTTCCCACGCGTCAACTTCCTTCCAACAGCAGCTATGTTGCCGTGAATGGAGGAGGAAGAAAAACGAACAGGGATGGCGACTCTGCAACATCGATGGCGAGTACCCCTCTGTCACCAGCGATGAGACACAGCTGACGGTGAGGAAGAAACAGTTGATGGTGAGGACCAGAGGAGCAGCTCGACGGAGAAGAGAAAATGAAGGAAAAATCGGATGCTATCTCATTTTCTCTCTCTCGTTGCTTCTGGTGTTCGAATGGCAGAGGAGGAGGAAAAAAATCTGATCCTAATAACTAATTGGGCAAATTACCAAAAAGGACACAAGAAAAATTATAGAAAAGGGAACAAAATTTTACTGTAATTCAAATAAAATATAAAGCCAAACTTATGCTCTATAAATTCAAACTCTGGATCTTCAAGAAAGTTACTAACATAAATTCTACTAAACTAACACTCTCCATTTGCTATAAAAACAATTTAAATAACAATTAATTGGGAGAATTTTTTAATTAATTTAATTTTTTTACTACTTTAAAATTTGGGGTCCTTACAGTTATACATGAAGATGTAAAAATTATGTTAAATGATGATCGTTTTTTTTTTTAATGGGATGAAATCATAGCTAGTAAGCTTCCTATCATTAAGTACTAGCAGATATTATTTTATCATTCTGGCAACAAGGATATATTCATATCTCATTACGTAAGTGTTTAAAACACTTAATAATTTTCCAATTATAACAGCAACCTTAAAATCCTATAACAATGATGTCTCTCAATTATGCCTGAATTTGATTCATTTTTATTTTAAAAAGTAGATAAACCTCTAGATGTAACTTCCAACTGAGAAGCTTCAGATTGGTTTTATTAATATTACCCTTATTATACATTAACCCCATTAACAAGTAATAAATAAAATACAATGACAGTTGGGATGAAGATCATGGGCATGGTTGATTACTGTTTTTAAGAAGTGTTTTTAGAACTAAAACAAAAACAAAAAACAAAAAGAAAAGTTGTTTGTACTACTATAAGTATTTTTCTATTTGCCTGATCTCAAAACTTAATTAATGTTTTTCTTTCTGGGGTACAAGCAATACAAACAGAAGAATAACTTAGAATTGAACTAATTTATATATATAACAGAAATAATTCAAACAAGCGCGACAGTGAGACATTTCCAGTGACCCTTTTTTGTGGGCGATACGATGGAAGATTATTTTTAGTCAAATCGGTTCGAATCTGGGTGCTAGAAAAAAGATATAAGCCTAAAGTTTATACAAGAGTACTTTTCATGGCTCAAGTTTAAGCTTGCTTGAACCTATCTAAAGTTCGGCCTGACATGAAAGAATAGTGTTGAAGCTCTTACATACATGTTTCTTACGTGGTCCTAGGATCTTAGCATTTTGGTTTCTGATGATCGTTTTTCTACCGTTTGTTGCAGAGAAGCATCCACTCTATGAAAGTTTCAACTTCCTCTATTGGCCAAACTTGCTATGTTCTGACCAATGATTAAAAAACCAGGCCAAACGATTGACCAGTCTGGATTTTGACTTGGTCAGCATGTAAAAACTGTTTTAGGGGTTGAGTTGGGTTAGGCCGTTTTGGATAGGTGGTTGGAATGAAAAATTGGAATCAAGCTTGGAATTGAATCCAGTTTAAAAAACCGGACTATTAAAAAAAACTTTTTTATTTTTTATCAAATTTTTTTTAAAAAATGACCAATTTTTTTTTAATCATTTGATATTATGTTGTATCATATGACTTGTTAAGTCATAATAAACTTAAAATATTTGGTTTTATTTTTAAATTAGTTAGTAATTTTATATTTATTTATTATATTTAGATTATTATATATATATTTTTTTAAATTTAATTGTTAGTTGAATTATGTGAACCGTGAATTACTGATCTTCTCAGTTTAATATCCGATCCGGTTTTAAAAGCATTGGTTCTGACAGCGGTGGTGCAGAGCATTTTCCACATTCGGTGATGACTCAATGCATGATGAGCAAGGTTTCATTCCACGTTACATTCCGAAGCCTTAGTTATTTTAAAAAATATTATAAAAATTGATTTATTTTTTTAGTTTCACACCCTTGTCCGATACAACCTGGAACACAGTATTGCCACTTTACATGACACCAGGTAAAGAGATTTGGAAAGAGTACATGAAGCATTTAACATCGACGAGTCAAAGATCTTATTCAAAAGGGCTCTCAGTTAATTCATTTTGTTTTTTATTTTCGATGTGGTTTTATATTAAAGAATCTTATAGGATTCAATGGATTATTAGGAAGATTTAAATTAAATAATATTTTTTATATTTTGAATTATCCAAATGATCCTTTAATTATCTAAATAATTTATCTTATAAATTAGGATATTGTTTAGAAATCAAATTAAGTCAATTATTTTTTTATTTTATTTTATATATTTTCATTTTTAGCTAGGTTTCAATTAACTGGGCTTTGTGAGCAAAATTATCTCAATTAGGGTTTTATTAGGAATATTGATTACTCCTTCTGATCTATTTATAAGTCATTTCGAGTATGTTTCATTAGAACAAAGAAAAACATTAAACCTCATTAACTCTGCCTTAAAATGTAATAAGTTTTCACCTTTACCCCCTAATAAGGATGAAAAGAATTATTTTTAATAATTTTTTCTAGCATTTAATAAGGACATAAAATTAAATATGAACATGGAAAATAGTGGTTCCTTATAAATAGGATCAAAATTAATTTTCTATCTCTACCCTATAAATAGGACTAGAGGAGTATTGGTCAAGTTCATAATTTTTAGCTTTTCAATATACAAACAC